GGGTGACGGTCCGCGCGGCATCCAGCATGCCGTTCCGTTCTACGATCGCGTTTCTTGTGCAACCTTCCCCCCCCCCCCCCCCCCCCCCCCCGTAACCACCCCCTCCCAAAATGAGATGCGGAGGGCGGTTCATGGCAGAGCAGTCAGCCAGGTGGGGCTTGTTTACGAGACACTATAGTCATTGAAAGCAGTTCACACGTTTCAACTAACTGTCACGTGGGTATCATAGGGAAAAGCAGCGTGCTTATTTATTTACTTGATGAAGAGGACACAGCCTACATGGACTGTACACAGGAGATACAGCATACGCCACTCAACTAAGGTTGACGACAAGTGCTTGTTTGAAACAAATAATCAGCCGTGATCTATCCACTGATTAATGAAGACTTCCCCAGGCTATCGCCACCCTCACGGTTTCACGACGCAATAATCTGCGTAGTCCATGCGCAAGAGGATATCTTTACCCCTTCTTAGCGACCATCATCCCTTCTGGTGGAGAAGATGACAACCTTGCCGTGGTCTCCACTGTTACGTGCTTGTTACAAACTAATGTCATCAACCTGGCGATCGAACGCCCGAAAAGGGCCTCTAAATCAGGGGAAAAAAATGTCCTGACTAATTTGTCCTAACAGTCAATGTGCCGTGTCCTAACTTGTGTATGTTTTGCGATCCACGTGTTCGTCTTTCGGTCCATGAGGGTAGTTCCAGGAAAATACCTCTGTAGGCTTATTTTCACCATTGTCAACTATTGTATTTGCTGATGTACAGGTGTCTTCTTACTGATTAAAAGCGTTGTTACTTTGGCACACTGATATGTTGCTTTTCATTATCAAGAACTGATTTTTGTTTTAAGTTTTTTGTCCTTCCCCCCCCCGCGCCTCCACAGTGCAAAATTTTTTTTACATACAGTGAGGGGAAAAAAGTATTTGATCCCCTGCTGATTTTGTACGTTTGCCCACTGACAAAGAAATGATAAGTCTATAATTTTAATGGTAGGTTTATTTGAACAGTGAGAGACAGAATAACAAGGAACTCCAGAAAAACGCATGTCAAAAATGTTAGAAATTGATTTGCATTTTAATGAGGGAAATAAGTATTTGACCCCCTCTCAATCAGAAAGATTTCTGGCTCCCAGGTGTCTTTTATACAGGTAACGAGCTGAGATTAGGAGCACACTCTTAAAGGGAGTGCTCCTAATCTCAGCTTGTTACCTGTATAAAAGACAACTATCCACAGAAGCAATCAATCAATCAGATTCCAAACTCTCCACCATGGCCAAGACCAAAGAGCTCTCCAAGGATGTCAGGGACAAGATTGTCGACCTATACAAGGTGAGAATGGGCTACAAGACCATTGCCAAGCAGCTTGGTGAGAAGGTGACAACAGTTCGCAAATAGAAGACAAAAGAACTGTCAATCTCCCTCGGCCAGGTGCTCCATGCAAGATCTCACCTCGTGGAGTTGCAATGATCATGAGAACGGTGAGGAATCAGCCCAGAACTACACGGGAGGATCTTACCAATGATCTCAAGGCAGCTGGGACCATAGTCACCAAGAAAACAATTGGTAACACACTACGCCGTGAAAGACTGAAATCCTGCAGCGCTCGCAAGGTCCCCCCTGCTCAAGAAAGCACATATACATGCCCGTCTGAAGTTTGCCAATGAACATCTGAATGATTCAGAGGACAACTGGGTGAAAATGTTGTAGTCAGATGAGATAAAAATGGAGCTCTTTGGTATCAACTCAACTCGCCGTGTTTGGAGGAGGAGGAATGCTGCCTATGACCCCAAGAACACCATCCCCACCTTCAAACATGGAGGTGGAAACATTATGCTTTGGGGTTGTTTTCTGCTAAGGGGACAGGACAACTTCACCGCATCAAAGGGACGATGGACGGGACCATGTACCGTCAAATCTTGGGCGAGAACCTCCTTCCCTCAGCCAGGGCATTGAAAATAGGTGGTGGATGGGTATTCCAGCATGACAATGACCCAAAACACACGGCCAAGGCAACAAAGGAGTGGCTCAAGAAGAAGCACATTAAGGTCCTGGAGTGGCCTAGCCAGTCTCCAGACCTTAATCCCATAGAAAATCTGTTGAGGGAGCTGAAGGTTCGAGTTGCCAAACGTCAGCCTCGAAACCTTAATGACTTGGAGAAGATCTGCAAAGGGGAGTGGGACAAAATCCCTCCTGTGATGTGTGCAAACCTGGTGGCCAACTACAAAAAACGTCTGACCTCTGTGATTGCCAACAAGGGTTTTGCCACCAAGTACTAAAGTCATGTTTTGCAGAGGGGTCAAATACTTATTTCCCTCATTAAAATGCAAATCAATTTATAACATTTTTGACATGCGTTTTTCTGGATTTTGTTCTTGTTATTCTGTCTCTCACTGTTCAAATAAACCTACCATTAAAATTATAGACTGATAATTTCTTTGTCAGTGGGCAAACGTACAAAATCAGCAGGGGATCAAATACTTTTTTCCCTCACTGTACACGCATCAAGTTCAGCTTTCGGAAAGCATTTCAACCTGCTCTCGTTTGCCTTTTTATTTCGTAACTTTCAGCCTGGTTCAACTTTGCCGCAGTGTAATGGTTAGCACGCTGAACTTGCAATCTAGAGATCACCAGTTTGGACTGCCAGTGCAGCAATTGAAACAATGGGGCAAGTTTCTTAAATCCCCCCACCTTTGTTCACCCAGTAGTATAAATGGGTACACAGGTGATCAGCAGGTCACAATAAAACATATTTTGTTAAGTAAACTAGATATTTTTACCAGGTAAGACCCACTGAGGTATGTAGCTCTTTTTCAGAAGCGACTTAGCCACAAATGCTAGCTCAAAGAAGTGGCTTATCACGTGGAAATGATAGCCAAATGTCTTCTAAATGTGGAGGGGAAAAACCGAAGGACCCAGAGAAAAATCCACACCACCTCGGGGAGAACATGAAAACTCTAAATATACAGGTGTCAGGATCGAGATCTAATCCACGACCTCCTGTATACCAGGCGAGGGAGTTAACATCTCACCACCGTGGCTCCCACGTGTGGTGGGGTATTCCCACCTTCTCCAAGATCTCTGATCATTGTGGAAAAGTTTGGCAAAATATCCTCTAGAGCAGTGTTCTTCATTGGAAGGCCCGCGGGCGACCGGCAAGCCCCTGGTGGCCTTTAGTGAGGCCCCCAACAATACACAACACGTGACAACACCCCCATCAAGCTGTCAAACCCAATGGGTTTCAAATGTGTGGCAGCCCTCACACTGATGTCTTGACGAAACAAGTGGGCCCCCTCTGAATATTAGTGATGAGCACTGCTCAAGAGGGGCTTTCAAAAGCTGCCTCTAGCAGGGAGCTCATCTGCCAGCTGTGGCCTGAGCGAGTAACAGCTGGGCTGCACCTTTGCCACCTTCAAAATATGTCCGAGGTATACATACTCGGAAGTGTTGTCCAGTTGTTCAAGTACAAACATTAAAAGTGTTTAAATAGCACATACAAATAAAAATACTTGGCACATTTAAAATAAACAGTAGGTTGAGAGTTGAAAGACTGGTTGGGGAAGGGGCTGCCTCAACTCGTCATTGTTACAAGATTAAATGAGTATCACTCTGTGGGAAGTCGACAGTGACTGTCCATAGCAATGTGTATATTTCACCACGAACTCTGGGGCTACGAAAATTGAGTGCCACCCCCTTTACTCATTTAGGGCCATCCATTGAGGTATGCAAAAATTCTGTCAAAACTTGGCCCCTCCCCCCCTCCCTGTACGCACGAGTACTTTACACCCCCCCCTCCACCTGTGTACCTACGATTGAAGCACCCCCCCACCCCCCCCGAATCCGAGAGAACGGGCAATATTTAATCCACGCAGAAACGATCAAGGATTAATAATATTAACGTGTTTAAGCAAACAGATAGTCTACCGCCGGCTGCATTAAAAAATTAAGTTGTGTACCTTGGCCACTTGTTTTTGCCGAGCTGCGTGATGGCAAGCAGTCAGTGGTACGGTGGCATGCAAGTGACACCTCTCCCACAGTCCTACTTCTCCCGTTAGAACTTGTTGTCTGACAGCTGAAGAAACTGAACTGTGGCTCATTTGAAGGCCAATGTAGACAAATTATCGAGGCTTCACCCCACCCCCCCCCCGTTTCCTATGCATACGTACATTGTCAGTAGACCCCCCCCATACGCTAGCATTTGGGTTAACCCCCCCCTCCCCCCTCCATGTGTACGTTCTAAATGGATGGCTCCTTTGAGCACAGAGTACTTTCGTAAATTGGGACTGTATGTATGAACTGATTTCATACCATACGTAGCAGCCAACCATGCTAGGTAGCATAGGGGGCAGAGGCAGCAGCTAAAGGACAGTAGGATTCAGGCAATATGCTGTGATGACTGTAGATAATGGAACAGAAACCAAAAGAGAGAAAACACTAGCTCTTATCTTGTATACATATACCCGAGCGGTGCATCGATCTGGCGGCTGTACGAAACGACTTTGAAGCTTGGTTGCGCAACAGATCGCTCAGGCAGTGGGCCCAGGGCTTTATAGCATCGGGCCCACTGGGCAATTTCACCTTGCTTGCTGCTCCACCTCTGCAAGCTCAAGATCATCCCAGCATGCGATGTATGTATGTATGCATGTTGAACGTCTTTCGCACCGTACATAGCCAACCGTGCTAATCGGAGGTGTGGGGAAGGACAACACACTAGCATATGTTCGACATTTTCATCCATGCACTGGGAGCATCTTCAGAACACAAATGGAGCATATCACGTGATAAAAAAGTTTTCCAGCTGCTGCTGGTGTTTTATGGAGGCCGGACGATATTATGTAAGAGCTTTGTAAATGATGCGTATGAGCTCAAACGTATGTCGCATTAAGTTAGCATTTTAGTCAGTGGTCTCTAGCTTTAAAGAAATTTGTCGAGTCTACTGGGGGCCGCAGCGCTGCGTGTCGTCGTGCTGTGTCGGGCGCGTGAAAGCGCAGCAACGGGCACCTGTAGGATGCACTCGGAGACGACGCCCTCGGGGATCTGCGGGAAGCGCTCGCGCAGGTCGTGGTAAACGTGGATGTCGATCTGCTGCGTCCCCTGGGCCATGGCTCTCCAGGCAGCCACAGGAGGCGCCGCGCTCCTCGCCTCGTGCTTCGCCACCACCGCCGCCGCCGCCGCCGCCACCACCGCTGTCACCGCCACCTTCCAAGGGGCCGGTTTCACTCTGGTGCTGCTGTACTTGCTCGCTGTGCCCGACAGGCACCGGGGGAAGGCCCGGGCTGCTGGGCTAGCCGTACAGGGCTGCGCCAATTGGTCTGCGTGGCCTCATCCTTCCTCCGGCATTGTCAAACCTGCGGGATAAACCCACCCGCCCGCGGGTTGCCGTTAATGCACGGCAGTCTCGATGCACCGCAAATAAAGTATCAATGAGGGTCAACCTGGTACAGAAACTGCCAAACACAAGGTCGGGAGCATCAGTGCTACAGACATCAACGATGTACCTTGTGTACTCTGTAGCCGAATACTGTGTGTATGCTGCGTATCAATACGATCAGGGTTTGATTTGCATGTTGGCGAATGTTCCCTTGTGTCGGATTTCTGGCTAAAATGAGCCAATATCACTTATTGGCACTTTTTTGCCGTTTAGTCAAGGTGTAAATTTTATCATGTTTAAATCTCTCACGTTAAGTTGCAATCCTCCGTAAAAATCATAAATGCAATAATTCACCCTCCCAGTGATAAAGTGATTCGATTCAAGAATTTATATTGGTCTAATTTTTAGCACCTTGTTGGCAATGTTTATCTTCCTGCCCATAACATTTGCATAATTATGTTTGCCGCATTCTCCTACTTGAAATACTATCATAACATTTGAAAGACATTTGCCTAAAATAAAAATAAATGTATTCACCACTATGTGCCCAATGAGCATGCTCTAAACTAAACTGTTTTTATTTGACAAGGTAGGGTCCACTGAGCTATATAGCTCTCTTTCAGAAGTGACCTGGCCGCAAATGATCGTCAACGAAGTGGATTATCATGTGGTAATTTACAGCAGCCAAATATTGAAAACGCTTGTTTCTACATGTGGAGGGAAGAACCGGAGGATGCAGAGAAAAATCCACATGGCCACGGGGAGAACATACGAACTCCAAATATATAGGCGTCAGGATCGGGATCAAACCCACGATCTCCTGCATACAGGCGACGAAGGTAACATATCACCACCACGGCACCCCAAATCCTCGCTCATAACATCAGTAATTTTGTATCCTGTAGCATTAAAATTGCATGCCTTCATCGTTACACGAGTGCCATGTATATTAACGTCAATAAAAGCATATAGGAAATTGGTTTTGAATGTATAATTTAAACATGTATTTTTATGACCATAAGATGTAGATATCACAAATACACCGCTAAAGGCAAGCTCACAAAAGCATGCTCCACTATTGGTGATGAGACTCTTTCTCCTGGGTGTTTTATTCCACCTGTTCCAATGTTACACCATCAGACACATGATCTACAGCTGAGGAGGAAGGCCTCCCCATGCTGTGTTCGGGCCAGAGGGGTTGTTTGACCAAACTTCGCAGTGTGGTGTGCTAAAAAGGGAGAGCAGTCGGACTTATTTGGCTATTACTTGTGAATGATGTTAGCCGTGGCTGGGAATCAAATAAATCAATCCAAAATTTGTAATGTGCCATATTCAGCAAAAAAAGTTGAGGCGGAAGCATGGATGGTATAGAGGAAAAAATAAACAAAATTCAACCAACCAGAAGAGAGAATGTGTTTTTTTAGTCTGGTCTTAAAAGCACTGATTGTCACAGCTGAGTAGATTTCAGTCGGCAGACTGTTCCGGACCACCGGGGCAGCCGATGAAAACCTCAGTTCTGCTGTCCGAAGCAGAGTGAATTTCACGCAGCACCTCCATCACAGACGAGCGAGCGTAGATTTTCGTGATGGTACATATGGGCGTATGGCATCGCTCAGGTAGGTTGGTTGACCGGTTTGTTGTCTTTGCTATAACAGTGAGTACTGCTACGTTGCACCCGACTCCGTTATGCACTGGTAACCAGTGTAGCTCCTTCACAAGTTGAACAGCTCGCGAGAGGTAGGGGCAAAGGGCAAACAACCGTGGAAAGGAGGGTGTTTTTGGAGATGCTGGAGACGCCTTTGCCCAAGGCAATCGTTTACTCCGTACAGCAGAGAGTGGGAAAAGACACGTCTGTTGCTGGGATTATAGTGCACGTTGCTGGGATTATACGACCGCGTCACGACTCCACCCATAACATGTACAACAAGCCCTTTTGTCAATCCCCTGCTTGATGCAAACCTGCCAACACCATGCCGGTAATCAGAGTTCTTTGACCACATTTCACCACGATGGTTAGTGCAGATTGGTGAAGGCAGGCAGCATAGGCAATCGATCTGAAATCAGAATCTTTATTTATCCTGGAGGAACCCTAATTGAAGTGTAGTACAGTGCAACTATGGATTTAGCTGCACTGCCCTTTGCTACAACTTAGCGCCAGCAAACTGTTATGCAAGGTGGCCACCCAATCTGAGCACTATCAAGGTTCAACCCTGCTTTGTCCGAGATCTGACGTGATCAGGTACATTCTGATTGATTTGTTCAGAGGCTACCCACACATATTGTCACATTAACAGTCACATTAATGTCAAATTAATGTCACAATTTCCTTGGTAACTCGTCAAAAATGTCGAGTACCTGAAAACAACCACCAAAACAATTTGGACCCAATTTGCATTGGCAAACGTTACCAGATTTTTGGTGAAAATTCGCCCATATCTCTATTGCCAACGAGGGGGAAAAGATTACCAAGGCAATGTGCCATGTTTCAAATGTTTTGTCAAGATGTGAGTGTCTGCCCCAATGCGTTTGCTAATTTCTGTGATGCATACAAATTATAACCATTCAATATGTAAGCATGTATAAATAATATCGCATCTCAAGGCGTACTAAGACCCATCACCGAGATTGTGAGCAACCAGCACCCATCGGTTACTCTGGAGATCATCACACCCATTTGTATTTTTAAGACCAACTTTCACAAATTGCGAACGAGCTGGCAAGGAGGATATTTCCACTTGGGAGTACTGGAGCATTTGTTTTGGAAACGCACCACGTGAATGCCACACTATCGCAGTGCCCACCGGATGCAAGACAGAGCTGGCTGCACTAGACCAATGCACAGCAGATATTTTACGCCAACGGTCTACGCCAAAACACAAGCTCAGCAGCGATGCCAAATTTATTCAGCAATTTACGGGTGGTCTCGTTAGGAAAACTAACTCGGGTAACTGAACTCTTGTTGGAGATCCCAGTATAAAAACAAACAAGGCCTTGCTCCTCTTGGAATGGATGAAGGGCCTGTTGGCAGAATTTTTGACAAACCTGCCTATTATTTCACCACCGATGATGAAAAGTATGAACTTTTTTTGCTATTGCAAATGTAGATAATAATGTAACTGCACGTATGCAATCGTGCAGCCCGTTACCAAAACACGCCATGTGCAATGTGCACGTTAACAAGGCCACACTTCATTTATTTAGCAAACATTGTGCGCGTGACCAAGAAATGAAGGGCTCTCGTGTAATCTGAACCAGCCAATGTTTGTTTAAGTCAAGGAATCTCTCTCGAGATGCAACCGCCCTGTGTTCACCGTTGTCCCGGCAGCAACGGGGGGGGGGGGGGGGGGGGGGGGGTTGGGTTTTGCTGTTAATACAGGACAGGCAGAAGAGGGTGCAGGGGGGGGGACATTGCCCTGGCAATAGCCAACACGTACAGCATGCGTCGCCAGCAGCGGTGGACGAACGGAAAGGTGCAAATTCATGCACAATCGGACAACACAACTTATTTTTCACGTGAAAACGGCTATTTAAATGGTTTCATTGTCCGCATTTCCCAAATACTATACAGATCTGAGCATTGGTATTGGCAAGCGGTGTGGAAGGTTTGCAGTGCATGCGTGAAGGACTTTGTAGTTTTCATGCAAACGTGTGAAGTATCCTCGCTTGGAGAAATTTCCCAGGAAAAGCAATTACGTAGCCAATCATCAACCTCCTTATAACATTTTTGGCAAAGGATCTTCTTCAAAACAGGGCCACTGGCCGAAATATATATGTTGAACTTCTTTCGCACCGTACGTAGCCAACCGTGCTAATCAGAGGCGCGGGGAAAGGACAACAAACTAAACACAAATAAGTAATATAAAAAAAACTTTTTTTTAAACACACTTTTATGAAATGTACTAGTAATGGCAGAACTCCACGACTCCAGGAAGTGGCCCCGAAGCTTGCCATAACGTAAGGGGACCGTGGTGATTTACAGCCAACGTCAGTTGAGCGGACAATTAGACCCAAGCCGAAACATAACATATAAAAAAGAATGTTGAAAAATATATATTTTTATTTCTTATGATAGAATATAGTATTGTCATGAGTATGACACAGGTATACAAAGTTTGCAGTCGATACCACATTGGGAAGTGGGTTAAAATTTAGTTACAAGATTTGAGGATACAACAACAGACAGTGAGTTAATAAAAAGCGTGTAAAAAGCAGTTTTAAAGAAATTGGTTTTCAATCCTAATATCGGAAGGAAATAAAAGCTTACCGTTACAAGAGTCAATACAACGATACTTTACACCATGCTGTTCAGTGTGGGTTAGTGGAGATGGTAACATCGACTTTTTGAGCGAGGAACTCAAGTAAGATGGATGTCTTTGGGTGCACTGCCCTCTGCTACCCACCATAGCCCCGCAGCCTGCAATAACCCGATTTTGCACGGTGGTCACATCCCACGTGAGCAGGCTCAACTGCTGCTCAGCATCTGAGATCTGATAAGATTGAGCGAGCCTTCCATGTGCTTTGGTCATAGGCACGTATTAGTCATAGAAAAATTCAAGACCCAATTATGTTCGATTTAAAGCTTTCGCGGCTGCAGGAATTCACACTCTTTGGGTCTTTCGGTAAAGTCACGTAGATCAAATAATACTAGGTCACGACGTTTCGATTGCAACACAGGCAATCGTCTTCAGGTGAGAGGGTTCTCACCGAATTACTTTCGTTTTAACTTTTAATCTCATTTGTATTACTTCAAGATTCCAGTCCATTTGTTTAAACATATGTACGTTAAAGTTGTTTCGCACCGTACGTACAGGTAGTCCCCAACTTATAATGGAGATGCGTTACGACGACCCCATCGTAAGTTGAAAATGTCGTTAAGTCGAAAATATCGTAAGTCAAGAATATCCCAAGTCGAAAAATGGCCTTAGCCTACTCAGGAGTCTTAAAGAATGGTGATAATTTAGCAAAACCGAGCAATTT